TCCTTGTGCAAAGCCCCACGTCCTCCCCGGGGCACCCTGAGCACCACTCAACAGGCATTTTTTTGGGGGGGGGGGGCACAGCCAAAAGGAGCAACACCCCTCCCCAATAAAAGTGGGAGATTCACCCCCGAAGCCACCCCAGAGCCTCAGGGCGGGGGTCACTGGTTGTCCCCGGGCTGGTACTGGGGCTCGGTGGCGGTGAAATAGTCCTCGAGGAAGGACTGGAGGTACTCGAAGGTGGGGCGTTCCTCGGGCTCCCGCTTCCAGCACTGCACCATCACCTCGTGCAGGGACGGCGGGCAGTTCCCGGGGCACTGCATGCGGTACCCCCGCTCCACCTGCTCCAGCACCTCCCTGTTGTTCATCCCTGCGTGACAGGGACACCCCTGCTCAACAGCCAGCACCCCCACAGGACCAGTCGGGGGGGAAACTGAGGCACAGGGTACCCCTTGCCGAGGGAGGAGAGACTCCCTCTGCACCCCAGGGGTGCCCACTGCCCCAGGGGGGCCATACCTGGGTAGGGCACCCTGCCTTTGGTCACCAGCTCGGTCAGGAGGATGCCGAAGGACCAGACGTCCGACTTGATGGTGAACTTGCCAAAAAGCGCGGCCTCTGGGGCCGTCCACTTGATGGGGAACTTGGCACCTGCAGGGGGAGAGCCATGGCTGGGGCTACACCCCCACTTGGGTGCACCCCACTGCACTCACTCCTGGGGTACCCATTATCTGGGGCGTCCATCACCCAGGACACCCATTATTTGGGGTGTCCATCCCCAGGGTACCCATCCCCTGGGACACCCATCAGCCAGGATACCCATTTGCCTGAGATACCCATTATTTGGGGAGTCCATCACCCAGGACACCCATTATTTGGGGCACCCACTGCCCAGGCCACCCAGCCCTGCAGAGGGGGTGTGATGGTTTCCAGGCTGAGGGTGGCACCCAGCAGGGAGGGGGGCAGTCAGGCTTGCCCACCCTGCCGTGCCGTGTACTCGTCGTCCTCGATGAGGCGGGCGAGGCCGAAGTCAGCGATCTTGCACACCAGGTTGTCCCCCACCAGGATGTTGGCGGCACGCAGGTCCCGGTGGATGTAGTTCATCCGCTCGATGTACGCCATGCCCGCCGCGATCTGAGCCAGGGGGGAAAGCAGTGAGAACCCACCCCCCCCCCAAAACGACCTCAGGGGGGTCTCCCCTCCCTGTGACAGCCCCCCCAGGTACCTGGGCTGCCATGTCCACCAGCTGGGGCAGCTTCAGGTAGCGGCCGTCCCCGTCCTTCAGGAAATCCAGCAGGCTGCCTGCGGGCAGAGAGGGGGGCCTGGTCACAACACCCCAAAAACCAAGAGTGCCCTCCCCTGCGAGCCCTCAGCCCTGTGGGACTGTGCCCAAAGAGGGTGAGGCTCGCAGGAGGGGTAGTGGGTCCCCCGGGCATCGTCCCAGGCTCACCCTGGCTCATGAACTCGGTGACGATGTAGATGGGCTCCTCGGACACCACGGCGTAGAGCTGCACCAGCTTGTCGTGCCGCAGCCGCTTCATGATCTGGGCCTCCTCCAGGAAGGCCTCGGGGGACATGGTGCCCGGCTTCAGCGTCTTCACTGCCACCTTCGTGGTGCCATTCCAGGTGCCTGGGTTTGGGGACAGGGCGTCAGCAAGAGCCTGGGGGGCAGCCAGCCCCGGCAGGGCCGGGATGGAGGGGGGTGTGGATGGAGGGGTGAGTGGGTGCATGTTTGTGTGGAGGGATGGATGGATGGATGGATGGATGGATGGATGGGTGGATGGATGGATGGATGGGTGGATGGATGGATGGGTGGATGGATGGATGGGTGGGTGGGTGGGTGCATGGATGGAGGAGCAAGGAATCAAGGCAAGGCAAGGAAGGGCCGTGATCCCACCACACCCCACCCAGGACAGGGGGTCCCGCTCACCCCAAGGCTCATCTCCTGATACCTCACCCCATTCCCCATCCAGCCACGGCGGATCCTGTGCCAGAAGCTGCCATCTCCCCCACACCAGTGGGTACCACCTGGCACCCCGTGACTCTCCCTGCCAGGGCAGGGCTGGGCTTCTCCTGCCCACCCTGTGCCCCCCTGCCCCGGCCGGCCGGGCCAGCCTTACCCATCCACACGTCTCCAAAACAGCCCATGCCGAGTTTCTTGTCGAGGGTGATGGATTCCCGCTCTATCTCCCAGGCGTCCTTAGCTAATCCCAGGGTCTGGGGCTTCATAGCGGGGCACGGGCGGGTGAGCAGATGGCACAACCCGTCGTTATACTCTGCAGGGGGGCGAGGGGGGC